GTTTGTTTATTTGTTAGCTATGTAGTCAATCCTAACAATTTTAGTATCTATGCTTGCAGAAAGAGTGTTATATTACAGTCTCATGTCACATGCGGCTTTGCTTAATCTGTATAACTGCAGACATTTGTATGAGTGTGTGAACAGTATTGATTCGAAAGTACAAACAGCATTAGTTACTAAGTAAACACAGTTAATAAGTAAGATAGCTAAATAGCCAATATGGCCACTTCAGGCTTGTATTTTAATAGTTGCAAACAATGAACAAGAAAAGACAAATAAATTCTTAATCACAATTGTTTATATGACGGTTAATCATCAGCTAAAATTTCATGACCGCGACAGCCCTACTTGTAACATCTAATGTCGGACTTACCAAAAAAAAGGCAATATCAGTTTGGGGGCTAGAGTGGAGGCTGTCCACAGTGCTAAAACAGATTTGCAAGATTATTCTTCTTTTTTTTCAAATTAAAAAAAAAGCAAATCTCATAACAAACTGATGTACTGAAAACAATATGACAATATGACATAAAAAATCATGAATAAAGGATTTCTGTAAAAGATTAAATGAATGGCGTAAAAGTGAGTACTGATGATTAGGTCTGGGTATTGAAATTCAATACTTTTTACGATATTGACTGAATTATTTTAAACAACGAATTACTTTCATCAGTGATTACTCTTCCAAGGTCAGTGAGCAAATAAACATTCTTGTTTCAAAGTCTGGACTGGTGATTGGCTGTCTAAAATCCATTCAGCATGTATATTATTACCAATGGCTCTTCTTGATTGGTCTGCAGACCTTTGCGGTCAGTAAATACACCCACTTACTGCACCTCACACTCTTTTCCGTTTTGAGCCACATCTTTTTTCTTTTTGTATTTTCAAAGAAGGTATCGGGGAAAAAATTTTCAGAAATACTTATCAAAGCCCAAGTATCTGTATTGGGAATTAAAATTCTGAATGATACCCAGCCTGACAACTTACTACATTTATAACAATATGAGCACTGATTTTTCTTTTTTAAAAATAGTGGTGAGAGGACTGGGGTCGTGATGTCTACAACATAAATATAGCCATTTTATTTACTGTCCAAAAAAGATCTAAAACTGTCTTCTGAGTTTTTATATTTAATGTTCTGGGCAATCTGAAAAAACAGGTTTTCTTTGGGTGCTGTTTATCCTCTTAACTTCCTCCTGGTACCTCTAAACCATGAACAGATTTAAAAAACACATTTTAGACCAAAACCAGATCTCAAAACTATCATAAAACAATGTCTCAGACATGAGGCAGCGTATCAACAACCACTTCATGTTACAACTTTCTGTGAGGGAGCTTTTAGGAATTCATTTCTTCAGACGTCTGGTTCCTATTACAACCACTGTGAACAATTCTAACTTAAATAACTAAATTGTAGAATGGAACATTTCACTTGAAACCACTCTGAATGACTTTGTTTACATCTCAATGATTTATTGTGCAGGATTTTGGTGCATCAGTGCATTTCCCTTTCCAATCTGAAGAAGGGCTCTATACTCATAGTTGATTATAACAGTTCTCTTTTTAGATGCAATAAATATTCATTGATGGTTGGACTTAAAGACAGAACTAGCAATGATACTCATGACTGTTAAAAGTATGAAAAGAAGAGCTTTAAAGTGCTCACTGCTAGTTTGGAATGAGCTGGAAATCTTGAGTAACTTACTAAGAAGAATGTTTTATTGAAAGTTGTTTTTTATTCAGACTCAACTGGCAGATTAAAATACTGCTGAATGGTTCACAAGCTGTCAAAAGGCGTGACAAATGGGGAAAAACAAGACCTAAAAGTTGAAAATCAATGAGGTCTGCATACGATGAAAGCAGAAGTGGAAAAGTGAGTGACTCTGATGCCATTTAGCTCAGCACACTCTATCTGAGTGAAGCTCTTAATCAAGCTGAAGTAGTGAAAGCTCAGTAGAGTGCTGTGAGGAGAAGGGATGCGACAGTAGAGTGCTTTTGGTGTGTCGACTAATTGGCTGTGTGCTTTTAAGTAAGGGATGAAATGGGGTGCTTTATATTAATAGTTTTTGCCCGCTCTTTCTCTCTAGAACTCTCTGTGAGGGTGGAATGGAGACTCTAACGGCATATTTGTGGTTGCCAACTACAAATACTAAAAGTTGCACACCAGCATAGTGAACACATTTGACAAGCACCAGCAGCTCTACAGCACCTCAACTGATCTCTTTGAAGCTTCATGCTGAATTTCATCTAGGAAATCTTAACCGTAAGAAGCAATAGTTATTGCCAGTGAGAACAAAATGTGTAGTTCTCTATTAACTGTTTTTCAGTGGTAGCTCACTGAAGCAAACACAGACATTCTGTCAAAAGTGCAGATTCTAAACTTCCGATGTTTTCATAAGAAGAAGAGCTGTGTTACTAGGCTAGGAAAAGCCTTTAATTGGTGTAAAACCATTACCTTATTTGGAGGTTCCTCAACCACTTATGGCCAGGACCTGGCTTCCAGTCCTCTCTCTTACAACTTAAGAGTAACATTGAATTGCACTGTTTTCCATGTAATTACTTAATAAGGATGTCATCGTAACAGTCAAAAAGGTTCATCACACTCAAACATCTCATTTGGATTCAGTAGCTAATGGGAATTAAAAGTAGTTTATCCTGCAGCAGACTGCAGAGGGAAAAACTAAATTTTACTGCCCCCTACAGACTCCTGTGACAAGTGAATACACAGCCGAATACGAACACATTTACATTGTTAGCTAAAAATCATGCGTAGGCTTCAGTTTTTTTCAGAGCTTCAAGACACTTCATGGCACTTATCCATGCTGTGTTTCAAGACATTTCCACACTTTGATGTGTTCAGATTTAAATAAATTAAAGAACTATTCAAAATTATTTTCTGTTTTTAAAATTAATATTATCATCAAAAAGTGTGCTATACTGCATCCCACCAACGTGTAAATCATCCCTATATCTAGTTTAGATTCTGCTGATTCCATGCCTGGGAATGGCTTGAGGCTCTAAGGGTTAAAGACCATCCACTGAAAGGTTCTTTAGGGAACCAAAAGTGGTTCTGCTACCATTCCACATGGAGTTCCACTGATTTTTTTACTTAAATGGTTCAAATCATTCAGAGTGGATTGATGTGATACGTCCCATTCTTGAGAAACTGTGCCAACAGTTCACAATGGTGGTGATAAGAACCGGATATCTTAAGTGTTTAAGCTACATTAAGTGATTATGAATAAGCTGCCTGATGTCTGAGACATTGTTGGCTGATAGTTTTCTTGTTTGTTTGTTTGTTTTTATGATTATTTTTATGATGAGTATTTTTTTAAAGGTATTCTTGGAATAAGGTACATGCAGGTCATCGCAAAGCAATGTAGTACCCAAAGAAAACCAATTTTTCCAGATTTACCACTATTTCACCATTTTCAACATTACATATACCAACTCCAAAGGCATGAAGGTTCGCTATTCATTTTGGATATTAACCAACTGTTTGAACAGTCTCACTCAGAGTATTAACCTACATCAAGCTCTGAAGACTGAAAGGCCAAGATGTCCTGTATATGCTACACTCTTAAAAAAAGATGGTTCTTCAAGGGTTCTTTAGTAAAGAAAATGGTTCTATATAGAAATATGAACACTCAAAGAACCCTTTGCATGAATAAAGCGTTCTTTGTGTCATGAAAGCGTTCTTCAGATTGATGGAAAGTGTGCTGTAAATGATTCTATAAAGACCCTTTTTGAACATGGTTCAATATAGCACCCAAAATTGTTCTTCTACTGTTACAATGTCAGGTTTGTAACAATAGAAGAACAATTTTGGGTGCTATATAGAACCCTTTTCAGAAAGGTTCTGTATAGAATCATTTACAGCACGTTTATGTACATTTTCCAGCAATCTTTCATAATGCAAAGAACCCTTTAATCATGCAAAGGGTTCTTTGAGTGTTTAAGGTTCTACATTGATCCATTTTCTTTACTAAAACCCTTGAAGAACCATCATTTTAAAGTGTGTACTCAATAGCTGGGCAGTTATATTTCCACTATCCTTAGTCGACAGTGGTCAGTTTGGGAACTCTACAGCAACTTGTCCACTTCAGTGTTACAAATGGTGCCCACAGGAGTTTTCAGTCAAGGTCCTGCTCACAGAAAGACTGAAGAGCTGTTCCTTGTTTCTCCTGGGAACTGCTCTTGCTCAATGAGGAAAAAAAGCCATCTTTGGAAAGAGGATATTTCACGCTTGGCTTCTCCCACCTGTCTCTTGACTGATGCAGTCTGAATAATAAATCCTTTCTTCCTCTTCTCTCTAAAATAAGATTGTTGTGCACCTTTCAGACATTCCCTCGGACGCTGACTGAAAACGCAAATTTAAAAAGCTAGATAAAGATGCTGGAGCCGTTACTGTTCAGCGTCTTGTTGCTTTTTAAGGCAGTAGCAACTCAAGCACACTTAAGCAGAAATAATTCACTGACTGGACTCATTGGATTAATATGTAACAGCTTGGCTATGTGACCCCATAGAATGGCATCTGTCCATGGTGCTGAAGATGATTTTCAAAGTACTTGTGCTACCAAAATTTGTGCTACAGTAAACTGCACTGAGAGAGAGAGAGAGCGAGAGAGAGAGAGAGAGAGAGAGAGAGAGAGAGAGAGAGTTTTACCACCGTTGTCCTTGCATTAAAGAAGAACTATTTCTGCACTGTAAGCAAATCAAACGTGAACCATCAGCAGTAAGTTGGGAAAACACTAAAAAGAAAGATTTTTATCGCCTTGTATAAATACGGAGATGTAAAATGTAAATGTGTTATGACTTAGAAAACTCCAAAAAGTCCAAAAAGATTCCTTCAGTATAATCTCAAACAACCACGGCGTGTAAGTGAATTCAGCGAAATCTCTCATCTCAGTCTGCGACTGAACGGAAGAAGCACAAGCTTCAGATGAAAACAGCAGGAGACCCGAATAAGACACGCACATGCAAGAAAGAGGAAAACTACTCACCCCAACGGAGCCACAAGCTCAGCACTCTTAGATTCAGGTCTACATAAACCATCCAGTTCAGACCGATACAGCAGCGCCGTCCGGCTCCTGCAGCTCTGCTGAGCTCCGGCAGTCCGTCATGTGACTGAACTCACTCTGCACTCAGTGCTGCTCTCACTTCACCTCTAAAAGCCTCGGCTCACCGCCTTCATACACCAGCAACACTGCCGTATAAGACGATTAGAAAATCACGCTCAGTGAATAATGATTGCTGAAGCAGAAATGTCCGCTTTGGGACTTCAGGGGCCGTATTACAGAAACTTCCTATCTTTTGTCTTAAGTTAGGATCTTACAGGTAAAGATCAGATTTTTCCCAAATTCGCATTACAGAAAAACATCTTATCCTAATTTGGGAATTATATCTTATCTTACAGCATCTTATCTCCAGTTAGGAAATCTTAACCTACTCGATCGAAATCGACAATCTGCTATTATGCCTGTTAACAAGCAACCGCCCGAGGCGCACAGCTGAAACGTAAACACGTATCCAAAACAATGTTACAAATGTACGTTTGTCGCTACTGTTACCTATGTAAAAAATCAAAACAAAACTAAAGTGCAATAAACTGTAAATTCAGAGTACTGTGAGAGCAGGTGCTGTTTACCAGAGCATCGCCGCTCTTCAGTTTCGGTTTAACGTTAATTTCCCAAAGGCTTTGGCCGGCAGCGTTCGTATATAACGTTATTCCTCCTAATAAACAACCACACGTTCAACTCGGTCTCCTCATTATTCACCACCACCACTATAATATTGTATTTGACGAGTTTTCACGACATTAATACCCTGAAGGTAATAAGAGGGTACAGAGATGGGATATTTCGTCTGAGTTTTAAAAATGCGAGTTAGAAAATAAACACATAACTGAACCCGGCATTTTGCTATATAAAAAACTAATGTCATTTTGCTAGTGAACTATGTTGCCTGTTACAGCTACCTAAAAAGGATAGAAACGGACAGTTAAAACAGAAGTAGGGACACCAGGAGTTGTCTTAAAGTTAGGACTATTTAGAAAATTCTGTCTAGTTAGGATGTTTCTGTAATAACGGTACTGTTTTCTCATCTGGAGCTGGATAAGATTATGAACTCACGGCCCCAGATATTTTAGTCGATAACGCAAAACGTCCCAGTTGATTTGTTACGTCATAAACCCGTCTGTATTAGCTAACTAACTTCGCATTGGAACTGGCCTCTCCACGCCCCGCTCACAACTGCCTTCTTTGTAGCAACGGTTGCTAGGTTGGCAGTCTTTACAGAATATTTGTAACACTCAAGTCCATGTTTTGTAAAAATGCCTATACATGCCTATATATGTCACAGGATGTGTATTTGTCTGAAATGTCATACTGTAATTAGTTATTGTTGTTGTGTGGTCGACGTTAGCATGGTGGCTAACCCGTCCTTGTTGTTTCCAAGTTGACTAGAGTTGATTAGCTACAACAAGTAGCTCAGTAACGGACTCGTTCATTAGTGTGGTCTGCTGTGGCAGTTCCTCACACAGCTAACCTAAACACTATGTAGGGGAATAAGAAAAACAACTTACTTTTACTGGTGGGACTTTGTTCTCGCAGACTACTTCTCACTTCTTCGGCAGCGGGAGGCGCCGCCATCATCAAAGGGCGGGAAAATTGACTGACTAATTTGCATAATGTGACGTACCTCCGAAGCCTATTCCGCGGCCATCTTAGCAATGCCGCAGGGCAGTTATTTCCAGCCATACTGCACGAGAGTCCTCTCTCTTTGAAAGGAGAAAGACTAAAAACATGAAACTGAAGGTCAAATTACCATTTCAGAAACATATTTGAAATTAATGATATAATCTGTCACAACCTCTTAAGTGGTTTGTAGCGTTTGGCTCAGTGACATGCAAAAAAACTGATTAAACAGCAAACTGATTGGCTCTTATGTTAAAGGGCGGGACTTAACTCCATAAACAGTTGGAAAACATGTTGGGCATTCCGAGCTTTCAACCATAGACCAGCCTGCTTACTGCTTAAATGCTCAACATTGAAACTTTGCAAGATTTGCTACAAAAAAATGCATTGTGGGCAGAGCATGGATAGGTCAATTACTCATTTCTGTTGAAGAATTTGGACTATAGCTACACATAAATGTAAATTAACCAGCCCGATTTGGACTACACCTGCACATGAACATTGTACACCTGCAACAGTGAACAATATCAGAAATGACATAACTTTGCTGCACATGTGTAGTCCAAATCGGGTTTCTGGTTCAAAACGGGGTGTTACAGATACCACCTGAGGGTGAGTGAGCTCCACATTACTGCTCTGGATTGCTTAAATAATGAAGGCAGTTTTATTTGAGCTAGGTGCTGCCTCTGTTTGACAGATACATAATTAAAATGAGCTACAGAAATATCTTTAAATGCAGTATAGTTTGAGTTTTTGTTGAATGGGTTACTGGGATATTTCAAAACCAAATTGTATTCTAAATAAAATATAGAAAATCGAGACTAGTTAGCTTTAATATTGATAATAGATGCATGTTCTGGTTGTAATGTATTCAGAAAACTATTAAACTTTGTTTATGAAAGCTCTACACATTAATTTGTACCTTTGATGTAATTTTAAACACTATGCAGTGTCCATCTTTCATTCATGTGGTCAGTGTATTGCACCAACAAGGACAGTGCCGTCTTTTTTCCCTTCAGATCTGAGGGAGCTGACAGGGCTTCATCAAAAAAGCTCCTATTCTTAACCGAATCTTTCAGAAGAATCTACAGCCCATCAGCTGCCAACATCTGCCACTGAAATCTCAGGGATGTCTTTCAGGAGGTGTCAAGCTGCTCTTTTGAGGCTCTTCTGAAGGGAGTGTTCAGCAGGGTTGTTGTTGATGGTGATGGTGTGAGCGCTCTACCGGGCCGTGAAACGCTGAGAGATTGAAAGCTCTTCTCTCCTGCAGAAATGGCAACTGACATCGGACACAAGCCTCCAATATCAGCTTAGACATCGAGCATATGGCAGAGAGCAAAACAGAGTAATCTGGATGTAAGATTCAATCTCACTCGCAGTTGAAGATGTGATCTGTGTTAAAATACAGGACTTTGGAAGCCACTGTGATCACATTATTTGTCTGAATATTTTATGTTAGTCATTCATTTGTTTAAAATGATCTTGATTACTATTTAATTTAAAAATAAATAAAAATATTCCCTCTGAAAAAAAGTAATGCATTGAATTGACTGGGTTAAGCATATTGCATCTACTCATTGTTTTTTGCCATTTATTTACTTTTGACAGTGATTGTGTTGATGTGAAATATTTTAATTATGTGGAAATTATGTACATATTTAAAGGGAAATTTTGCAAGTTCTTAAAAATTTTTGCACAGTGAGATAAGTAAATATTCAGATTTTATTCAGATTTTGATGTGAAGTGATGCATTGTAGACTTTTCGACTCAGATTCACAGTGGTGGTAGTAGACTTCACTGGGGCAGTACCCCTTTTGTCACTGGGGTGGTACCTCTCAGTACCTTTAGTCAGGGAACATAATTGTACCATAATCCATTGAAATTCTATTTTCTAAACTGTATTGACTCCACACACCCCGTCTCGTCTCCAGGCTTTTACTTTATTGTTCTGTTTTGAAACATTAGGTTACAAAACGGTACAAATATCTACTTTTCCACTGGGAAAAACTTATTTAAGGTGACCTTACCCCTTCGTCCTGGATGACTTTTACAAATGACGCTTATCTGAAAACGCTTATGTGAAGACTATCATACAACAATGTCTCGGACATCAATCAATGTATTTGCCACACTTTTAATGTGATAACTTTCTGTGAGGGAACTTTTAGAGACATTGAAGACTTCAGACGTCTGGTTCCTATCACCACTAATGTGAACAATTTTATTTCTCTAGAACAGTACATTTTACATGAAACCACTCTGAGTGACTTTGGTTAACAACTTAATCATATAGAAATTTAGAAATTCTTCCAGAAAATGCAATGCACCCTTTTTATCGGCAAGGCCAGTGGGGTACATCAGTAAAGATGCTGACCATAAAGTCTCTTCTTTTGGGTTGAGAGTCATGAATATGCACTGTTCTTATAGTTAGGGCTGGTTGTATTGCTGTTAGAGCAGATGAGTAGTGTCTACTGCAGCAGATTGTGCAGGGCTTTTCTGGGGCGGGCAAGATATGGCTACTTTAAGGAGGATGCTATTCCTGACTCTTTGTTGTTCTGCAAGGCTACAGTGAGCCTCCAGAATGATTGGCAAGTGTTTTTGTGAAAAAGACCACAAACTTCTGTTTCACAAACATGAACTGAAACATAATTAATTGGACCCCACATGTTTTATACACATGCTGTAAGTAACTAAACACAAACACTAAACATACAAAAAAAAACTTTGTATGTCCACTTTTGCCAATTCAGCTTGAGATATATCAACATCCCTATATATATATATATATATATATATATATATATATATATATATATATATATATATGTATATGTGTGTGTGTGTGTGTTTCTGGAGAAAATGTTTCTTTTGGATTTTGCTTTTTAATCATTTTACTAATTTTTTATTTGACTGTATATATGATCATTTATAAGACATGGCCATACCCAATGTTCTTCAACATCATTGCGTTTATAAAAGGGATCTGCTTGTGGACATGGACTATATTTGGACGAGAGAGCCTGTAACACCACTGCGTATGAGTAATCTAAACATATGGCTAATTTCAGTTTGCTTATGCGGAGGATATATTTACCCTCATTACCATTCACGGCCCCTTTCTGATCCAGATAATGATATTCCGCCTGTCTCTAGGGGAGCTCAGGCCACGGAGGGTGAAGTCAGCACAAACTCAACTTGTGCTGACTGAAGCATTCCATCCTGAATTCCAGTTCACACAGCCTGTAGTACCGACAGCTCCACCATACAGCTCCACCACATAGCTCCACCATGCAGTTCCTCCACACAGCTCCACCATACAGTTCCACCACACAGCTCCACTATACAGCTCCACCACATAGCTCCACCACACAGCTCAACCATGCAGCTCCACCACATAGTTCCACTATACAGCTCCACCATACAGTGCCATCATACTGCTTCACCACCCAGCTCCACCATGCAACTCCACCACACAGCTCTATCGTACAGCTCCATGACAGCTCTAACATAAGACTTTTCCATACATCTCCACCACACAGTAGCCACACCATGCATTTCCACCACAGCTCCACCACATAGTGTACAGCTCCACCACATAGCTACACTAAACAGCTCAACCACACAGCTCAACCACAAAGTTTCACCACACAGCTCCACCCTATAGTTTCACCACGCAGCTCAACCAAAGAGCTCAACCATACAGCTCCACTGCACAGCTCCACTGCACAGCTCTACCACACAGCTCCACCATACAACTCAACCATACAGCTCAACCATATGACATCACCATATGTCTCCACCACACAGCGCTACCATACAGTGCTACCTTTGCCTGGTGCAAAGACCACCCCTGTATATATGTCTCTACATCACACAGAATGCTGGTAAAGAGAAAAAAAAACATATTCTGCATCCTACATATCCATGCAGTATGAATATTGTACCACTGGTAATGTTACACCAATATATTAAGCACAGTTTATTAATTAAGGACTAGCTGCTCCATTTTCTATGCTAGACTGACTCCTCTTTACACAAGTTCACACAAATCCAAGTTTCAAGCTCACTCCTGCAATTACTGCATACTTCCACATCCTACAGCCCATAAGCGCTCATTAGTGTGGTGCGTGCCGCTCTCCTTTAAAACTGTCACTGAGTGCACCCTTGTTTTACAAGTAACTGCTGGACAAATGTTTGTGGTGAGGGTTCAGGCAGATGCTTCACACGAGGCTTAGATGTGAACACGAGCTGCTCTTGACTCATCTCCTCTATTTTTCTTTCCGTTAAGTTGACTTCTCTAGACCTTGTGCACTGTGCAAGAAAGACAAAGGCAGGCAGCTTGTTAGTACACAGTTCTATTTATAGTCCATCTAATGGGAATCCATAGAAAAGTCAGCAGTTAGTATTTATTTCTCAACTTCATGCTGATCTGGGGCATCAGTACAGCTGGGCTAATTTCTTACTGTTGTCTTTATTTCCATCATGTTGGGTGGGTTGTTTGTGTTAAGCTAAAGCCTACAATATGTTGTTGACATAATACATTGTACATTTTTTCTACTGTTAAAAAAAGTATTTGCATTGTAAAATCAAGTGGTCAACAGAGATTTTTGGGGAAAAAAAAGCAAAACATACATATGCTGTATTTTATCACTGCTGTTTTTAATTTACAGAAATAGAAATGTAAATTTACAAAAAACAAATTTATGTCACAGACATTTGTATTGATTGTAATGATTGTTATATAATATTGTAATTATGGTAAAATACTATACTCCAGAATAACTAGTTGAACTAGTGAAACTTTTGAATTACAGCAAAAGAATTTCTAAGAAATTACGTGACTGCATTTTACAGATGTTCACCATCATTGCGAAATCATACTTTTACTGCTAATTACTAGGCTTTGTCTGGCACTCCTGCTGCTGGACTTTTTGTAGATGTTTTTCACAGTGTAGGACTAGTATCAAATATTTAGGACTCCTCATTATTCTTAACCTGCTGGCTTATTATTGAGTAATTAATCTTTAAAGTCAAGGTGAATCAGGAATTGTAAAGCACTTTCCACTCATATTGTAAAGTATTTCTGTGAGAAACATGGCACTGGGGAGAGTCTCAGAGTTCGCTGATAATTTCTCTAGATAATAGGTGGGAGTGGTGGTGGTGGGGGGGGCGTGGAACATGGCATTATTGCTTATTAATATTATTCCCTGTCTGCAGATTCACAGTGATGCGGCAAAAGCCACAACACTTCAATCAAAGATTCAAGGAAAACTTTTTTGTTGTGCTTAAAAGTCATGCTTAATATAACAAAGAACATGAAAAAATTGATTTTGATTTCAGGTTAACTTTAAGATTTATTATTCAGTAACTATGAATAACACATAGTTACTGAATCATTCATAGTAACTGAATAATAAATCTTTAGGAGTCTTAAGGTATGCCCATACACAGGTCTAGACTAATGTGGCTCCATATATGCCCATAGTTTTAGTTGTAAACTCTGTGAGGCCCGTTATTGTGCCTTCACAATGAAAAAACCTCATCTGAGATGTATCATAATGTATCTAGATTTATTTATTTATTTATTTATTTGTCTGTCCATTCATTCCCAGTTTCGGTTTGGGATGAAAAAATGATGTATGTTGGGGATGAGGGATCTTCAAACATGAATTTACAAAAAATTCAAAATAGGGTCAAAATCATGCAGCAGTAACAGCCATTTTTCATTCTTGTACTGGAAAGTAATGGAAATATTAAGTAGTGCCTGTTAATCATTTTGTATTACAAATTCTCCATACACCTACATATTGTCACATTACACTTCAGTCTTCTTCAGTTTCTGTCTGTGTACAATACAATACATATTGTCACATGTTGAAACCACATAAAAACATTATTGTTTCCAAAGCTGTTTATTTTAGGATCAAAACATAAGCGTACAACACAGATGAAAATACTGACTTGAGAATAGTTGTTAAAAAAAATTAAATAGTTTTATCAGAAATCGTCACGTAATGAAATAAAAATGACAATGTACAAAACAGGTAGGTACTATTATGCCAAAATAAATGCCTACTAAGCAATGTTCAAATAAACTACATCTATTCTGCGACATACATAAATACACTAATTATTTCACTATTTTCAAGATTAATCCTAACGCATGTTGAAGAGATGGCAGACAATAAGTTGTGTATTGCTAACTTTATCAGAAAGGAAAGTTGTCTCTCAAAAGACTTGTCTGAGGTTGAAATGGTCCTCCTTTGATTTGATCTCTAGCATAGGCCCCCTGCACTGTTCTGAACTGAGAGTGCAGACCTAATCACCAGGTGTGTGCTGACTTGAGGACTATGGATTTATATGCATGTTGGTGAGTTCATGTAAAAGCACCTCAAAACTTCCCTGCTACTGGTATAGCCACTTATTTCTTGTACTGACTCATGTATCCTCTCAGGAAATCCTCGAATCGTGGGACTGGGTACTCAGGTGCTACATTGGCAGTACCGCTCTCTTGCTGGGACGGCTCATCTCGGGGTTCCTCAGCTTGCTTGCTGTTGGCTGCAGGCTCAGCACGGCGCAGGCGGCAGTTGAAATCAATCTCAGGATCACAGTCGGGATGGGGCTCGATTATACCATCCCGCAATGTCTTGGCAGCCAGTGCTCCAGTAGAGGCCTGTGGCGCAATCTTTCCACAGTTAGGATCATAGGGGTGGCAGCCTGACTGGGTGCTAGGAGCACTTGCTTTCAAGTCGTGTGACTCCAGAGGGGTGCAGTCCTTATCGTAGAAGACATAGCAGTCATAACCTTCCTTGGTCTTGCCCCTGACACCCAGACGGGACCGAGTCTGGAACTGGGGGAGGAGTGGTGGGGGTTTCAACAGGGCAGCTGTTCCGCCCATCAAGCAATATGGGTCATAGCGGGGGTCGCAAGCCAGGTTGAGGGGCGCAGGCTCATCTTGAGGGGTGTAGTCCAGCACAGGCTTGGTAAGTGAAGCCAGCTTGGTAGCAGTGAGTGGATTGCAGCCTTTGTCAAGCAGCGGATTGCAATACTGCTCCCTGGGAGCCTCTTCACTGCTTGCTGTCTGGGCAGCTGGAGCGACATTCAAGATACAAAGAGGATCAACTGCAGGATTGCAGTTAGGATACAAATGGTACAGACCTGACGGAGCTTTGGCTACTAGAGTAGGCATGCAGTAGGGGTCTACAGAGGGGTCACAGCTTAAGTGAGCATAGGAAGGTGCTGGGCCCAGAGCAGGTTTGTAACCATAGGCAGCACGTAAGTGGTACTGCAGGCACTGAACGTCTGAAGGGTTGCAGATCCGCAGCAGTTCGGACTTCTGCTCAGCCGATAAGAAAGGCTCCATCACTGGGGCATAGTAGTAGCCCAACGGAGCCTTCAAGGGCATGGGGAGCAAGGGGGTGAGGATGGGAGCTGGAGCTTTGACTGGAGCAGGAGGAGGAGAAGGCTCCTCAGATGGTGCCTGTGGACCATGAGCAAAGATGCAGTACGGATCAAGGTACGGGTTGCACACCTTCACTACAGCTTGCTTTATGGCAGAAGGCATGACGATCTTAGCTGTAGGCTTGCTGGTGGACTCTGCGATGCAGTCCGGGTCATCTGAGTTGGCACAGGCCTTGTAGATCTCACTCAAGTGGTTGAGGTAATGGTTGTATGAACGGCCATCCTCCACCCTGTGCTTATTCTGCAAGTAGGTCCGATAGAGCCGATCCAGATTCTCAACCTGTCAATGTAAAAGCAGAAATTAATGTTTATCAAAGGTTATCAAATCAATGTATGTCAATTGTTATATCAATAGACAATATAAACTTAGAAAAATGGTTTGTTTGCATGGCGGCAGCCACATCTTCACTTCTCATTTTCATTATTGATTGTTTGTAGGTGGCATTTCAGTATCGATGGGTATTGGTATTCTGTTATTATCTGCAGAAAATTGGATATTGGAGGAAAAAAGAACAAATACAATTTATTTCTGTAACAAATGGACCCTGAAATAACACACACTTACACTGTGCTTAAGTGTTACTGTTAGAGATAGGCCTTCAGTTTTGGCCATAATGTCAAAAGAAGGGAAAAAAACATATATATTTCACTTGGAATAGTTTTACAGTCACTCCTTTAGCAAAGAGCCCTGACATAAAGCTGCTGCTGTTTTCTATTTCTAACTCTGACACACTGATTAGATTACGTCTTTATTCACAGTCAGTGATGTATCAAGGACTTCCAGAAGGCGTAGAGTGATGTTTTATCTAAAAAAAATTGGTCCTACCTATTGTAAACCAAAACGTGATTTGTTGATTCCACTATCAGTTCCTATTTATGGTGGTGATTAATTTGACATGTTAGAACTTTAATTCCTGAACTCCTAAGCAATGGGAGAGATCACTTGGCCGTATCTACCTAAATAGCACAGAGAAAAAAAATCCTGATTGGATCATTTTTGCACTGGGCATTTAACCCTATTGTTTTCAACCAAAACATAACAATGAGATAAGACTACAGTGCTTGCCGAGTTTAAATACAACAAGCATAATGATGATATTAAATAAAAATGAACTAAAAGTTCCCCACTGTTATATTGTTAGCTGCATTTCTCCCTTTGGGGTGGTAGAGCGTTTGGGTAGTTTGAGGATGATAGCTGACCTTTAGATGCTCAAGTGAAGTGCTTCATTTCAAAATAACTAATTTTATAGCTCAGTAGATTTAAAAAAAAATATCAGATCAAGGTTTCCAAATTGTTAAAAGTGGTATCATGCCATCTGTAATTGTGTGAGGTTACTCACGCCCTCCTGGTTGTGGGTGTCCATGAAGTACTTGTACCAGCCCCAGAATTCTGGTAGGCGTTTGTAATATGCCACGTTCCTCCTGTGACGGCTCAGCTTTTTCAGAGCTGAAGAGCTTACCAGCTTCTCCTCAGCAGCTTCAGCCACTGAACCTGCAAAGAAGTTGTTTATTTCTAATTGAAGTAAAATTTACTTAATTAATGAAATAAATTAATTAAAGTTTCTAATTAGTAAGTCACAGAATGTGTGGTTTTGTAAGGTGGTCTAAAGATGATTCATAAAGCTGCATTTGTGTGAAATTATACATCTTATACATACACTATACGTCCAAAAGTATCCAGACACCTCTTCTAATTACTGAATTCAGCTACTTTAAGGTGCATTCATTGCTAACAAAGGCATTTACAGCTTGAATAGTCTCCATAAGAAAGAACTGCCAATAGAATGGAACACTTGTGCATGAGCCAGTGTTCACCATGTCCAATGCCAAGCTGTATAAGTCCCATAGCATCGGGCTGTGGAGCAGTGGATCTGTGTTTTCTGGAGTGATGGTGCTGCATCCAGTACCTCTGAGATGAGTTGGAGTGGCATTTGTGATTCAGAACTAATCATTCAACATCAGCAGCTGACCTTACTAATGGTCTTGTGGCTGAATGCAATCAAAGCCTCACAGCAATATTCCAACTTCTACTGTAAAGCTTTGGCGGAAGTAAATCTCTATTAAGACTCTTGATTTCAGAAGAAATGTAGGATAAAAAAAGTTGTCTACAAACTTTTGGACATATACATAACACATATAAGATGAGTGTTTACTTTACTGATCACTCTTTAGTAATAGTGATCAGCCACCAATCAGTCCATTATGGTTTGCTGTGTAATTAAAATAAAAGTCATTCACCTTCCTCTTTCTCCTGGTGCCCGACTGGACCGGCCCCCAGAAAATCTGACAGACGTTAAAACAACGAAACAACATAAACTGTGAAGAACCAGATGTCCCATAGCACAAGCAAGGAAAAAAACTGACCCACTAATAAGCCCTTAAGAGCAGAAGGAACTTTTACTGTTGGAACCCACGCCATATCCTGCAAATTAACCCTTTAAACTCCAAAGAACCGCAGGCGCTCTCATAACTGCACAACCTTTATAATAGTTTCTTTGTAGTTATTATATGTTATAGTAGTTACTAAATAGTAAGCCTTAAGCTTGCCGAATATTAATCCCAAATATTAACAGGCTAATGCCAGTTCCTCCACGCTAATGGCTTTGAGAGCTGTCAGACGTGGGCTTACTGCTACTGGGGCCCCCTGCGAGGGCACCCATTAAACTACAAAGAGCACGGGCCGTGTGCCTGAAGGCTGCTACATTAATTACCACACCGCTGTAAAAGAAGATGAAGGGGGTCGAAACGTTCTGTACAGTTAACATTATGCGCGCCATACGTCTGCACCACCAGTTGGTGCCTTTAGATGTTTATGGTTTGGGGGAAAGAGCAGAGTCGGCAGAATATGAGAGGACTTCTGGTGCCTATTGTTTCGTTACTGCAAAAAAATGCACTGTTGCTGCATATACATTACTGTTGAACAGAGTTGTGTATTACAGAAACTCAGCCTCTTCTTTGAGTTCTTTTGAGTTGTTTATGAAGAAAAATATGTTTTAAGGGAGAATGTAAAACTTTATGATTTTAAGTGTGTTTGATGTACTCTGCCCACCCAATGTTTTGTCTTTTGAAATCTGAATTTTCTTGCAATTCCTGCAGATGTTTTGACCTATTTTCTAACTATTTTCTAATATATTTGGGTATAGTTTGCAACACTCAGCTTCATGATCATTAAAGTGACTTCCTTGCTATGAAGTGTAGATTTCACCTATGTAATATTTTGACAGTTTTTCTTTTCCAAACTATCGTTCAAAGCTCATACTGAAAAACTTTTTGGTTCTAAAGGTGGTTTAAACAGCTGAAAGGTTTCAGTGCTGATGATATCACATCATTCCCTGCTGTCACAAATACTGTCACAAAACTTACATGAAAACAACTTTTACAGTCGTTTCCCCCAAAATAAACCTGATCAGCCTTTAGTATGTTGAAGGGCCCATCATGGAAAACCCTGTTTTCCTCCGTTTTTTTTTAAAAATACAGGTGTTTAATACAGTTTTATGCAATAGTTTAAACAACCCCAGTAGAATGTCGCGTTTTGTTTTATTTGTTTGTTAAAATCCATAGTGATCCATAGTGAAATAAATAGTGATTGTGCATTAAAATGGGCGGAAATGTGTTCTGTGTGGAGGATGTGTAACTTATATATATTTTTACTTAGAAAATCAACAAAGTATTTCATTTTAATCAGGGGCATTCAAACTTTTGTAATCAATTGTATGTGAACACTGGTAAAGTTTTGATACCATTCACTGTCGGTTTTAATATTACTGTCTCTATAATGACATGAAAACCTACACATTTACACATATCCATCTATTCAGCATAGAGCAGTTTAGCTCCGCCCATTCACACTGAGGTTATTGGGAGTGTTTCAGCTCTGAATGCTTTTTGAATGAAGTGCAATACAGAGCAGCCAATTTAAATAATCAAACAAAAACAGCTTGATTAATTGTAAGTGATAATAGGAGGTTGGAAAATGGTCATGTCGATCTTTTGTACACATGAAACCACACAATTGTTATAGGTGGATCTGAAGGGAAAAAATAAAATACAAGACAAAATGTAGGGTTCAGGCCCTTTCAGTTATTGCCGACTAACAAAGAAAGAACATATTAGAAGCATTTTGAAAAGCTAGGTGTGTCCCCTAACCTTCCACAGGCTGTATGATTAAAGGAAGATAATACCCTCTCAGGTTTTTGGAAGATCTTGGTTCTCACCTGGCATGAAGATGGCTGTGAGCACAATAGCGGTAAAGAGGAAGGACAGCTTGAGTTTAGCCATTTTTCTGCATTCAGCAACTCCTGCAGAAACAAGCAGAATGCACACTGTGAACATCACACCTATGGAGAAAAGTGGAGGGAATCTCCTCACTGAGCTTCCAGGCAGCAGAGACACAGCACTGGTAATGACCACTCTTATCCATCAGCAGTGCACCAATGCATTTTCCACTTACCCCACCAAAGCTAAAGCTGCCCCTCCAATCCCAAAGCTTGAGAAAATCAGTGACAGTAAAACTGCTGTGATAATGACATTGCGTAGAACAGTTTGAAAACAATAGACATTTTGAGCATCTTCGTTTGTGCTCATGCTATTTTGGTCAAATGGCTTCATATTATAACTACTGATGTCACCACATTTGCTATTGCCGAGTGGGGTTCTAAACTAACTGGGTATTACAGTGACCACTTTAAAACCAGATCTATAGACCAACATTAGTTAAATCAACCCTAGTATTTCAGGTTCAACAAACTTAAGTTAGTTGAGATTGCCTCATGTGGTAACACGAAATTGAACTAGTTTTATTCAACTGAAAATACTTTGATTAAAAGGGTGATTCATTCAAAGTATTCATTTAGGATGAATAAAACTAGCTAATTTACATGTTACCGTATGAAGCAATTTTTGGGTTAAGCCAATAAACCATTTTTACAGTGTAGTTACTGTTCTTTTACAGCATTATAAGGACAAACATGTTATGGGTATTAATTTAAATCATTTGAAACAATGAAATAACATTAAAAAGATAGATACACAGAAAGAGAGGTAGAAATTTCATTTAAACATAAATTAAAGAGATATGCTTTCAAATGTTGCACAGTTTAGAAGCAGCATAATTACAGAACAAGGCCTCTTCACACTATCATTCCTAAATAAGCCCATTATAATAAAAAAATAAAAGTGTATAGCAGTGAAACAAAATAAATGATTATTAATATTGTATATATATATATATATATATATATTGACCCATTATCCATATATGCTTTTCAAATATGCATCAACATTTCCTCCCCATAATTAGCCATTTGTCATCAGTTTGGTTTAATTGGATCAGGTCATTTCAGTCATGCAGTAATTGATGTAAGAATAAAGCTGCCATAAGTCACAGTTCAAACTCAGTTGATGTGGTGCAGATTTGTGAAGTAATGAAGTGAATTCTGCTCCTGACCTAAAGCATCTTTCAGCACTGGGTTTTGGGAACACTTACCTGATTCAGCAGAAGAGCTCTGGACTCGATTGCTCTGCACTCTCCTCTCCCCTGAAGAGCTGCTGAGGGGCGGCTGTGGAGAGCGACATTTTTAAGGAGCTGCTTGATCATTAAAAAGCAAAAAAGCGTGGCATGTGGTTGGGGTTTGCCTATGTCCTTGCTGGGATTGGCTCATGCAAAACAGGCTCCCCACCAATCAGGGTCGTGTAAGTGAAGCTGGCTCTAGTTGCCAAAAAGTCAGGAGCATTTAGACACAATCAAAGAATCAAAGAAACAAAACACTCTATGAATGGTCGGGCACTCAGACCTGCCATGTCTTCTGCTGAGCCAGGAAATGAAATGTAAAATGTCTTTTTTACATTCATTCATTCATTCATTCATTCATTCATTCATTCATTCACTCATTTAACTAACTAACCCAGGTCAGTATGAACCATTCTACTGAATTAGTTAAAATTACAGAAACCCATATTTTCTGCAATTAAGTAAACTTTTTGTGTTTTAATAAAAATATTATGGTTTAATTTGTGTACAACCGTTCAAAGCTGTGTTTGCTAGTCATGTACTGGCTAGAGTCTTTGGGTTCTGCACAAAATTAGCTGAAACAGTCACTACTGAAGCATTTGGTAAAGTTTCGGTAGTGTTATGATTTTTTTGTTAGAGACAAAATGGAACATTAATAAATATGGAATATTAATAAAATGAACATAATTCAGGTATAGGGTCACTCAAAGCAAAATATTCTAAATTCTAAGTCAGTTAGAAGTCTGAAATAAGTTTTTAGCTCTGACTTTGTACTGGTTCAGCCGAATGATCCAAATCTGTTGGCCACAACAGCAGCCCTGTTACTGTTATTGTCGTTCAATTCACACTTCATAACAGTGAGGATATCATATGATGTATTACAAGTAACAGTGAAGCCGTGTACCCTACCCACCCATAAGACCCTAAACACCAAACCCATCCCAAGTGGTGAAGAAAAGGGAAGAAAAAAGGAATAAAAGAAGAAGAAAAAGAAGACAAAGTAATTACAACAACAACAAGAGACAGATGGGCCAGACAGACACATAGACAGCAGACCAGATACAGCTGAGAGAAGAACACAGAACAGATTGACAGGCACATTCTGAAAGTACATATATTCCTAAGGATTTTAATGGATATTAGGTGTTGTGTCATTGAGAAAAAAAGAGTTTGCTGTATGTGGGAGAAGATGCGCCCCCCCACCCCTTTTTACATGACTACGATGTAGGTAAATGTCAAATTTTATGTATCCTCACTGTCCAAAAAAAAAAAACAAAACAAATTCATTTTCTTCCATTTTCATATGAAATTCTATTCTATTAGCAGAACACAGCAGCTGCCTTTAACTTTGGGTGAAAATTTCATGATGAATGAACCAGTAGAAATGCTCTAAAATTACCTTCTCTTGTAAAGTTGTCCGTTTGGAGATACTTGTTTTTCTTTGGACATTGACATATTTTAGATAGATTTACATGAGAGCAGGTATTGCACTGGCTGGTATGAGGCAGTTAAGAGCACAATGAGTACAAACATAACTAGGAATATCAGCAGTATTTACAGTGTAAAGTGTGCAGTGAGAGTGTCATTACAGAAGCAGTTATGATGTATTGCACAGTGTGTATTAACAAGAGAGGTGATATAGTGATGTGATTCAGCACAGTTCAGACAGCAGGAGGTCAGTACCGGAGACTCGTTGTAGAGCCGTATAGCAGTGGGTAAAAGATTTTACATGGTGCTCTTTAACACAGTGCAGCTGTAACAGTCTGCCACTGAATGTGCTTCTCTGTTTTTCCATTGACTGTTTTTAATGTTTTCACAGACAGAAAATGGAAAGAATTAGTTTTCCATAGACTATAAAAAGCATTACCATTCAATCATTCATCTCTTAAGCTACTTATCCTCCTGGGTCACAGGGTGTACTGGAGCCTATTCCAGCAGTCATTGGGTGGAAGACAGGAAACAGCCTGGACAGGCTGCCAGTCCATCACAGGGCAGACATACAGACATACACATTCACACTTAGGGAGAACATGCAAACTCCACAGGTAGGGAAAGCGAACCCAGGCCCTTCTTACTGTGAGGCAACAGCGCTACCCACTGCCACACCGTGCTGCCAAAAGTATTACTAAGTGTCCTTAAATGATTTAGTGTTATTTTTTAGATTTGCTGTAAGTCAGATTGGAGTGATCTGTAAGGAGGTTGAGCCAATGCTTTATGGAGACGTGGGTTCTGTCTCTCCATAATTCGTTTATCAATGGTGAGAAAAATTAATTGGAGAAGTTTGAGATGTTTGGGTTAATAACGAGGAGATGTCACTAGGTAGGGCAACAGCAGAGCAGATGGGAGATGGCGAAGCCCAGAATCTTAGATATCTCGCCCATGACCTCCAACCAGAAATTATGGATTTTGTTCAAATTTCATAGTCAAAATGTCTTAATGAACTTATTTGTGGAGTTTGTCTCACATTAAGTTGTCATTGCTGTGTACTCTCAGCAACGTTATTGATTACTGTTGCTGTTTGTGCACTTTTTCCAAAAATATTTAATGGCTTCATAGATTTTTTGCCTGAATTCAGTCTTTAATCAACTGGTTGCCAATAAAACGCAAGTTTTAGTTTTGCTGTATATTCATATTTCACACAATGATTTAATAATCTGGGGTCTGTAATGTATAATCTGCAATTATTTATCACTGAGTCATTCATTTCATGGTCTAAATGTTTGTTTCTTCATGAGAGATCCATAACACTGTCAATGGAATGTGGCAGATTTTTGGAGCAGTCAAACACATTTAATACCATTAAACTAAAGGCCTAAATCATTGTATTATTTGATTTTGCATGGTTTGCCTGGTTTTATTTTATACTATTCACAGTTTCAAAAACCCAGACAACAGACATACTCATACCAGCACAACACACACTACCATACCACTACCACACTGGTATCACTGCCATTGCACAATTAATACCAATTAATGGTTAGCTGTGGTCCTATGGTGGTTTCCATAGATGTGTGAGGTAAAGGAGGGCTGATAAATTGTTCAGCAACAGATGTTAAACAATTGTAAACCTGCAAATTGTACCTTCAGTATATGGCAGTGGTCACCACACCTTCTTCTGGGGATCTACCTTCCTGCAGGTGTTAACCTCCACCCTTATCTACCACACCTCATTCAGCTATGGATCAGTTGGGATCAATTTGGGTTGGAGATAAAGTCCACAGGGAAGTAAATCTCCAAGACCTGGGTTGGTGACCACTGGTATTTGGTATAAAACCCAATACCAAAAAGGACAGTATGTGAAATGCAACTAAAACACAGTAAAACGCAGTAATAAGTAAATTCTGTTTGAACTGTAATGAAATAAAAACACAATATTTGATGTATAACTTCTGAAAACACTAACTGACCCAGTTTTAAAAGGAGAATTTTTTACCATTCTTCCGTTATACTTATTCAGCTGTGCAGCTGTGCAGGGCCTTCGTTGTTGTGTTTTGTGTTTCATAATGTGCCTCACGTCTTCAATGACAGACAGTTGTGGACTGCAGGCAGGCCAGTCTAGCCTCACTCTCTGATTATGTAGCCATTCAGTTGTCACACAGGCAGAATGTGCATTGGTGTCGTCTTGTTGAAACAAGTATGGACATTCCTTAAAAAACGTCATCTAGAAGGCAGCATATGTTGCTTCAAAATGTGTATGTATCTCTCAGCAACAATGATGGCCTCACAGATGTGAAAGCTACCCACATACCGACTGACGCTGGCTTTTGAATTTCACACTGGAAGCAATCTGGATGGTGCTTTTCTGTGACAAAAATTACTAACTAAAAAATGCTGTTTTCATAAATATTCAACCCCTGTGCTATGGAAGATCCAAGTTTACACAGATGAAAGATATTGCCCTAACAAGGAGATAATTGGCTTCCAATTGGGCTCTACTCATGAATCATTAAAAAAGTTCAGCTCTTCTAGATCCTCTTAATTCAAGTACCATTGATCAGGCTGTGAATTTGACTGAAAGCTGTAAAACTGAAAACCAAACATACTTCTAAGAAAAAAGTCTAAAGGTATAGACATGCAAGAAAGAAGCAAAAGAAAGAAAAGCACTAAAGAAAACCACATTAAATCAGAAATGAGCAAAGTGACCCAGCTAAAATGCTTATGCCTAGTTTTTATAGTCACATGAGACAAAAACTGAGATTTTGGCCAAAATGCTATGTGTGGCACAAGTCTAACACTGCCCATTCCTCAACAAACACCATCCTAATAGTGAAGTATAGGGGTGGCAGCATCAAGTAGGGATTCTTTTCCTCAGAGACTGGGCAGCTTGTTAAAATTGAAGACCAAATAGATGGTACAAAATAAATGCTTCAAGACAACCTGCTATGATATGTTAAAGAATTAAAGCATGGGAGAAACGTCACCTTTCAGCAGGACAATGATCCCAAACACAAAGTCAAAGCAGCACAGAAGGGACTAAACAACAAAAAGATGAATGTTCCTCAGTGCCAAGTCAAAGTCCATATCTCAGTCCAAATCTGTGGCACTATTTGAAAATTGTTGTGCACAAGTGGCATAAACCACCCTGAGCAACCTGAAGCAAATCTGCCAGGAAAGATAAGTGAAAATCTCTCAAACAGTGTGCAAAGCTGGTAGAAACTTACCTCAACAGACTTACAGCTGTTATTGCAGCAAACGGTGGTTCTATCAAGTACTAGTATTGCAATCAGTCCAATCAGCATTTTTCAGTTTGCAATTTTTTTTAAAAGATCTGCTGACAAATAATGAATTCTGACTCTGAAAATTGTCTTTAAAAGCATATTTGACTTCACAAACAATTTGTGAGTCATTTGTAATTCAAACAAATCTGATGATTTGTTCAATGTTGGACAAAAACATGGCGTGGTCCAAAATACAATCTTGTAAAATTTTACAAAAGTTAAGGATGTTTTTTCCTTCTCCTGTGAAATTACCATTTTGGTTTTGCCTTGACAGTGACAATATATTGTCGCTGTCCAAAGAAAAACAAGTATCTCCAAAATGGTAACTTTACAGGAGAGGGCAAAAACCTTCTTT